TCTCACATTACTTCAAAACTTAAGGGACTAAAGCTCGAGCTGTCTGATGACTTGCTCGTCCATTTGGTATTGATCTCACTTCCTGCACAATTCAGTCAATTTAAGGTCAGTTATAACTGCCAGAAGGAGAAATGGTCTCTAAATGAGCTCATTTCGTATTGTGTGCAAGAAGAAGAAAGGTTGAAGCAAGAAAGGACTGAAAGTGCTCACTTGGCAAGCACTTCTAAGGATAAGGGCAAGAAAAAGAGGAAGGAGTATGAAGCTGCTCATAAGGGTCCGGCACAAAAGAAAAAGAAGGAAGACAAAGGAACTTGTTTCTTTTGCAACAAAACTGGACATGTGAAGAAGGATTGTGCCAAATATCGCGATTGGCATGCAAAGAAAGGTGCACTTCTTACTTTGGTCTGTTCTGAGGATAATTTAGCTTCAATACCTAGAAACACTTGGTGGATAGATTCTGGTGCTACTACTCGTATAAGTGTTTCTATGCAGGGCTGCCTGAACTACCGAAAGCCAAGTGATGGTGAAAGATACATCTATGTGAGTGATGGCAAATCGGTGGAGGTTGATGTAATAGGCACTTTTAGGTTGTTATTAAGAACTGGTTATTATTTGAATTTGAAAGACATTTTCGTTGTACCATCTTTTAGATGGAATTTAATTTCTGTTTCTTCGTTGGACAAATTAGGTTATTGTTGTTCATTTGAAAACAATCAGTTTAGTCTTTTATTAAATTCAAATGTTATTGGTACTGGTTTGTTATCTACATATGATAACCTATATTTGCTTGATATTATTGCATCATATAATGAAACTTTGAATGTGGAATCACGTGGTACTAAACGCAAATTAAATAAAGAAAATTCAGCAAAATTATGGCACAAGCGCTTAGGTCACATATCAAAAGCAAGAGTTGAACGACTTGTGTCAGATGGTATTTTAAATTCCCTTGACTTTACGGATTTTGATGTATGTATTGATTGTATCAAGGGAAAACAGACTAAAACAAGGAGATTAGGTGCTAACAGAACTTCGGATGTCTTAGAATTGATACATACAAATATTTGTGGTCCGTTCCCCACGACTTCCTGGAATGGTCAACAATATTTTATATCATTCATAGACGATTACTCACGTTATGGGTACCTATATCTCATCCTTGACTTTATAGATTTTGATGCTTGTATTGATTGTATCAAGGGAAAACAGACTAAAACAAGGAGATTAGGTGCTAACAGAACTTCGGATGTCTTAGAATTGATACATACAAATATTTGTGGTCCGTTCCCCACGACTTCCTGGAATGGTCAACAATATTTTATATCATTCATAGACGATTACTCACGTTATGGATACCTATATCTCATTTATGAAAAGTCGTCACTGGACATATTCAAAATTTTAAAAACTGAGGTTGAAAATCAACTTAACAAAAGGATAAAGAACATTAGATCTGATCGTGGTGGTGAGTACTACGGCAGATATGACGGATCAGGTGAACAATGTCTAGGACCATTTGCCAAATACCTAGAGGAATGTGGAATCGTCCCTCAATACACTATGCCAGGATCACCTACCATGAATGGTGTAACTGAAAGACGAAACAGAACTCTTAAGGACATGGTAAGGAGTATGATTAGTCATTCAAATTTACCAAAATCACTCTGGAAAGAGGCATTAAAGACTGCAGCTTATATTCTGAACAGAGTATCAACTAAGGCTGCTGCTAAAACACCTTATGAGCTTTGGACAGGCAAAAAGCCTAGTCTAAGGCATTTTCACGCTTGGGAATGTCCAGCTGAGGCTAAGCTTTATAGGCCACATGAAAAGAAATTGGACTCCAAAACAGTAAGCAGCTACTTTATCGGCTATTCTGAACGATCTAGGGGCTACAAATTTTATGATCTCACACTTAGGTCAATTTTTGAAATGGGAACTGCAACATTTTTTGAGGATGTTGAGTTTGGGAGGAGATATAAGGTTAGAGACATTGTCTTTGAGAAAGAAATTGAGGGAGGATCGGTCTCGATTCCTACTATTACTTTTGACAATGTACAGGTTTCTATACCTGTCATTGATCAAAAAGTATATCCAGAACCTCAACAAGACAATGTTGAAGAACTTCTCACCAAAAATGAGGTAATTATTCCAAAAGTGCAAACTCAACAACCTCAAAAACCAATGCTATTAAGAAGATCCACGAGAAAAAGGAAAAATGCTATTCTGGATGATTTTATAGTATTTCTCCAAGAACATTAGGAAAATAATGGAATGATGAAAGATGATCCAATCAATTTCCATCAGGCCATGTAGGGTTCTAACTCTCGACAATGGATTGATGCCATGAATGAGGAGTATAAGCCTAAGCAAGACAATAAAGTTTGGGATCTTGTCCCGTTACCAGAAGGTGCGAAGCCCATCGGTTGCAAATGGATTTTTAAAACCAAAAGGGATTCAAAAGGTAATGTGGAAACATATAAGGCTCGTCTTGTAGTTAAAAGCTTTACCCAAAAGAAAGGCATCGACTTCAAAGAGACTTTCTCTCCAATTTCAACCAAAGACTCTTTCAGGATAATTATGGCACTTGTTGCGCATTTTGACTTTGAGTTACATCAGATGGATGTTAAGACAGCGTTTCTCAATGGCAACATTGACGAGACGATCTATATGGTGCAACCAGAAAACTGTGTTTGGAGACCCGAAGAATATGGTTTGCAAATTAAAGAAATCCATTTATGGGCTCAAACAAACTTCCCGTCAATGGTACCACAAATTTCATCAAGTAATTATCTCATTTGGTTTTGAGATGAATGCTGTTGATGATTGCATGTATTGCAAGTTTAGTGGTAGTAAACATATTTTCCTGATTTTGTATGTTGATGATATACTGCTTGCTACTAATGATATAGGCATGTTGCACGAAACCAAGAGATTTTTATCAAGAAATTTTGAGATGAAAAATCTTGGTGACGCCTCTTTTGTATTAGGGATTCAGATACATCGGGATCGTTCTCGAAGTATTCTTGGATTGTCACAAAAGAGCTATATCGATAAAGTACTTAAGAGGTTTGGCATGCAAGAATGCAAACCAAGTGACACCCCTGTCGTTAAGGGAGACAAATTTAGTCTCAAATAATGCCCGCAAAATGACCTTGAAGTTAAGGAAATGCAGAAGATTCCCTATGCATCAGCTATTGGGAGTCTAATGTATGCTCAAGTTTGTACACGTCCAGACATAGCATTTATTGTTGGAATGCTAGGCAGATATTTAAGCAATCTTGGAATGGATCATTGGAAAACAACCAAAAGGGTTATGAGGTATTTAAAGAGAACAACGGATTACATGCTCGTATATAACAGATCGGATCAGTTGGAGATCATAGGGTACTCCGATTCTGATTTTGCTGGATGCCAAGACAATAGAAGATCCACATCAGGCTATATCTATCTACTAGCTGGAGGAGCTATTTCTTGGAAGAGTGCCAAGCAGACACTCATAGCTTCTTCTACCATAGTTGCAGAGTTTGTAGCATGCTATGAGGCATTTAACCAAGGAATATGTCTGCGAAACTTTGTCACTGGGCTACGCATTCTGAACGGCATAGAAAGACCACTAAAGTTACATTGTGACAATAACTCGGCAGTTTTATATTCCAACAAGAACAGGAGCACATCTAAGTCAAAACACATTGACATTAAATTCCTGATCGTGAAGGAAAGAGTACAGAGTGAACAAATTTCCATAGAGCACATTGGAACGAACTTCATGATTGCAGATCCGCTTACTAAGGATTGCCACCCAAGGTCTTTCATGAACACACTGCTCGTATGGGTGTCAGATTTATTGAGGATATTGTGTTTTAGTGGGAGTTTGTATTCTTATTGCCTTATGTTTAATTGGACACATTTGTGTATTTGGATATTTTTCGGTACAGAAATAAAGTATTCAGTTCATTTCACTCTGTTATTATATTCAGTATTGATTTCACTTCAGTTATAAGGTTGGACCAGTTGGAAATAGACACGTTTGGATCACATAACATGTAATTTCCATACTACGCTCCCATAATTGATCTATGTCATTTGGTTGTATGGGTGTACGTGACCATTGATGGATTTAGTCACGTTAAGTGTGACGAAAATCGCTTTGATCCTACATCAATATAACTAATGGACGAGATTGTTTGGAAATGCCCTTAATTATGATAACAAATTTTGAGCTCATAAGGTTGTGCACATTTGAAAGATTACATGTATGGCCCAGTGGGAGATTGTTGGAAAAATTTTATCAATTGGGGCCACACATGTATATGATTAAAGTGTGCGTTGCTATCTTATAGTTTTAGTCCATTAAAGTGATCCAATGAATATAATTTTGGACTAATAGGTATCAATTATTATAGGATTAAAGTGTAGAGGCCGGTTAGTTGTTTTAAATTGATGAGGGCCCAATTTAAAACAAACAAAAGATGATAACTGCCTAGCAGTTATTTATCATGGGGTCATGGTTCCCAATTGACGTGATTTTTCATAACCTCTGCATCCCCATCAACAGAGTGTGTTTCAAGAATTCCAAAGGAAAATCACGAATCAATTGGAAGATCATAACCCGAACAAAATCAATTATAATTATGAATTAAGATATGCTTCCGCTTTCTTGTTCTCTTTGATTTCAACGTGGATCAATTGATGGAAGGACTAAAATTGGGTTATTAGTTCCTTTCAAATCTGAATTAAAATCTATCATTATCTCCTAACAAACTACAATCACACGCTGGATAAATAAGGTTCTGGCTCTGATACCATATCACTTTTTGCTCGAGATTATCTCATGTGTAAGTAATTAGCTGTACAATAGTAATTAAAACCAGATGCTATGCTATGAAAAGAAACTAATTAAGTGATTTGCTGCAAATAACCTCTAATAACGCGATTACACATTGAGTTTGATATGAATACAACGAAGCAGTAAATTTCACAAATAAAACAAAAATACCAACCTGCATAGAGAGACAGAGATGGAGTCCTAACGCTTGTTTAAATGCTAAAAATCCTGATGACTAAAATGGCCAAACAATCCCCAGCTAAGTTCTTACTTTAATAACAAAAAAAATAAAGGGAAAGTACATAAAATTAAGCAATTAAATAAGAAGCTTAAACCATGCCAATTTCGTATTGCACCACTAAGTCTACTTTTGGTGTTCTGGACTTAGAGGCTTCAACAGTAATTCAGCTTTGAAAGGATAAAGGATATCCCCCAGTGTTCATTTATGAAAGCATTGACATGTGGTTGGACCGGTACCAAAGATTAGTCTAAAATATGTTAAGGTCTTTCCAGGTCAATTTTTGTGGACTCTTTCAGAAAACTGATAAACTTTCTTTTGATTCTTTGAAAGCAAACTATTTCTATACCTTAACCATGGCCGTGTCAATGTGTGAGAAAGAGCTCTATCCAACAAGATAGGAATGGAAATGAGAAACTGACTCAGCAGAAAGCCAGTTGGAAAAATTTAACATATCAATTAAGGCACTCTGAGCTGAGCAGAAAAGAAAAAGAAATTGAACCAGTAAATAACAATTCGGCTATCTTATATCATCTCCAGAGTGAGAAAAGAAAAAAAAAGGAATCGGTTAAAGAAAAATGTGGTCACATTTCCACTACCTCATTCCAGGACAATCAACAACTACAACATTTATCATCCTTCAGAAGTGAGACAAATATAGAAGAACCAAATATACATGCATAATATCGCTCGAATCTGGAGGTAAATGACCTTATGTTCCAATACATATTGGAAGTACTCTTATGCATTATAAGCTATAAATGGTTTACTATCTCGTATAATATAAAATATGAATAAGCCGTGATTTATTAAATAGCTTCTAATGTAAATTTGAGTTTCAAGAGACGTACCTTGGCAGCATCAGAGGAATAACACCACTCTGGAGATATCTCACGGATTGTGAACTTCTGCGTTTGGGAAATGGTCAAACTCAAATTGTCTTCAAGAGGAATTCCAATCTGACCTTGGTCAAAAAATGTTGGATAGCAGTCCAGATCAGTTCCATAAGTATTCATTGGAGGAGAATATGTAGAAACTTTGATAGAATCATCTTCTTGGGTGAACAGCATAGAAGCTGGCAATATAAAAGAGTTGTCATAATGCTTTACAAACTCAGGAGTCTTGAGTTCTGAATGAAAACTATGTCTTGAGAAAATCTTACACTCTGGTGCATAACCTCGTCCATCAAAGTCTTGCCAATTATAATTTTCCTGCTCCCTTACAGGTTCATTTGGTGATGGATTGAGCAGCATACCCTGTTGTAAGTGCAACTGTGTCAATATAAGAGAAACATCAAGGTTTCCAATTTTTAGCCTGATAATGTTTAATGCCAACAATCATATTGCAACTGTGATTCAATTTAATTCAATATCCGCATCCTATATCTGTTCTATAAGAGTAAAAGAATGAAGGGTCACATGTCCGCTATTGTTTTGTCTATTTTCTACCTATTAATTTGATCATTAGTGTTCATTTGCGCTATGAAGTTTCTAACTACATTTTTTTAACTAGTATCATCAAATAAACAAACTCCTTATCATGCCAATCCATACATTTGTGCTTTCAACCATCTCAATATTTCTGAGGCTGTCTCTTTTCGTATGGAAATCGTTGATTCCATTTTACAACTAGGAATAAAAAAGGACTCATAACAGAAAGCAAGATATTCCTAGGCACACAGAACATAGATGACAGGTTATTTGAAAATCAAGCCAAGAACCTATACAGCAAAGTATCTTCTATACTAAAAAATATTTGCACGTTTTTGTGATGGCCTAAATCTCATCATACAAAATGTTTATACAATTCAGTTTTTGCACGACTGACTCAATCAAGGCATAAACCTTGATAAGAAACCCTGAAATCATAAGCTTTAAGGTTCCTAGTCAACACCACATGAGGAGTACCTCAAGGCATAAGCCTTAGCCGCTTTTGAAAACACTGCTTACAATATTATGAATATGCTCATTCTTAACCTATCCCATCTAGTTCTACTATAGTTCCATCCATCTTTAACATCCTATCTCAGTTTCACTCAATCAATGTGTACATTAGTTCTTTTTAGCCAACATTTCTGTGATATAGAATTCCTAGTCCTATTGAAGTTCTATAACATATCCCTTTTTGTTTTATTCTAATTCTAATCACACAAAATCTAAGCTGCATTCATCCATGAGTCCAAACAATCTATGCAATTTAAGTATCATTATCTCAAATTTTCACCTCTGGCAGAAGTGTTGATTCTTTGAATCTTCAGTTTTTTGTAATGCCCAACATTCATAGCCTCTTGCATGCAGGGGTGGACCCATTAATTTTTGACAGCGAAAAAAAAAAGCCCACATAATTTTAGCCCATAATTTTTAACCCATGCCTAATTATTTATTACGTTGTTCTGTTTCACCCCCGCCAAACCATAATAATCCTGGCCTGTCCCTGCTTGCATGTGCTCCTACCTTGACTATAACTACACCTCAACAAAGATGATGTAAAGGGGAAAAATAAGAATTTAAATCAGAATTCGATTTTCCAAAAGAAACCGTGTAGGGATGAGTTTATATTCCTATAAGTAACATTGATTTATAAGTTAATTTTGACCAATCAAAAACAGTAAAAGGAGGGTGTTCTTGACACTGCATGGAAAAGGGAGAAAATGTTTACCTCATTCACTACATTTATCATACAATCATGAAACAATTGTAGTCATCAAAACTAAAGGAAGGATATTGTCAAGTTGGAGATGAAATGATAAGCAAATAATATTACTCACATTTTCATTCAACTTGTGCTCATTTTTTGCTTGTGTTTCAACATCAGGCAAACTGTTAGAGCTACCTAGCATCTCTCCCCAAATATTAACTTCAGGCCCTACGAGTTGATGAAGATGTTCCATCCTGTCACCTACAGAGTTATACCCCATTAGCAGCAGTTTTGGCCACTTCTGTTTCTATAACATAGAAAATAATGCATAAACTATCCTTTAATAAAAGAACTAACAGGAAGTTAAAACACACCTGAGTGACTCTGTGAAATAAGATTCTTAGAATGATCTGAAGTTTGAGCAGACAAGTCATAATCAAATAGAAGATTTTCTAAATTAATTGAACCCTCATCCTCAATGGAGATTGTGTTAAATTCTTTCTCCGAGTCATCATTTAAACTTAATTGCTGCTCAATTCTTCGCAGTGCTTCACTTAAATCAGGCTCCGGTGATCTATTAACATCCTCCGTTCCCTCTATAAGTTCTGATGGATTTATCCCATGAATCTCAATGACTTCATTTGAACTAATTTCCACAGATCCAGGACTGGGCTGACTCTGATTTGGTTCATTAGATTCACCAATGACAACAGAGGATTCTGGCTGCTGAGTTGCAAAAGAGGTGGGACTCATATTGCGGGTAGAAGAAGATAATGGCGAGAACTGTGATGTCAATCTAGCATTCTGCGTTCCCTATAATTCAAAGAAAAATAAATAAATAAATAAATAAAAAATGGATGTGTTATGTCATTGCTCAAGTTATCTAATATAATTATATAAATAGGAATGCTCTTGTTAGTTATAGCAATTGTGCATGGAAGTAAACATGGTTGGCATGTCCAATTATCATCTAAAGGAACTAAATGGAACAATATGCAGTGAAAAATGTGCATGTGATTAGTGGATGTTGAACAAACTGCCCAGTGCCCACCCACAAAGACTGGTATCAGAGAAGTTCAACTTTGGCTTCCTGACACAAGATTTTAACATGAAGAGAAGTAATTTCTGCTAAATCATAGGGAATTGGCCAGAATAACAATTTTCTGTCAGGAAAGTCACTGCAACCTATCGGAAAAGCTGTGAGTTCTACTAGGTAGAAGACAAAAACAACCGTATGGACTTAGGTGTCAGTGTCACTGAGGCATTTCAATTACTAAATATTACAGTAAGAAAAAGAAGAAAAAATTAAGAAGACGAATAAGTACAGGTATGTGTAATTAGTTTATGCAATCTCCAAGCTGAGGCTTAAGAAGACTCACCTCCTCAATATTTCTGTAGTGAACAAGAACAATGTGCTCATAGGCCCTGCTCAAACACAAAAATATATCAATTTAAAGAAAGCATCGTGAGAGTCGGAAAGTTGGAAAGGTAAACGGCCCAAGCAACTTTAACAGTCCACTTTTATCTGAGAATAACACAGGATATAAATTGTTGGAAGCTTATCAAATTAATATCCATTAGACATTTGTTTCTATCCGTGCACTGAAAACCCACATACTTCTACAACTTTCACAAGAAGAATTATATGTGACAAAATTAACACAAGATAAATGTCCAGACTCACGGGTCCAACATCCAGTAGCTGCGTCTCTGAAAGCTAGGGTTCTGCAGTCCATGAGCATAATAGCAATTTAGAACTTCAGCATTTCCAACCTGACATGAGATAAATTTCAGTTAACAAATTAACAATAAATGTTAATACTAAACTATGAAAAACTCTAAACAATATTTCATTGCAGGGGCCAGAAGAAACCAATAGAAGATGAAAATGGAAAAACTTGAGATGAATCTGGTCAATGACATATTGTCACTTAGGTTGTGATGGCTGTTCTGTAGGATTGCCTCCAAGCTCAATGGTCAGGTTAGATAGCTTTGGAAACATGTAATTGCTCAAGCCCACAATATTAATAATTCCAGAGAGACTGCTTTTGCAGCTGCGGTTCTACAAATTAACATTTTACAAAACGTATTCCTTGAAAAGGAAGGCCAAAAACTTTTCAACTCATGTACATATTATTCTGGATCTGTTACCATGTCTTCATTTATATTTTTATCAAGATGTATCAGCACTATGAGAGAAAGAAGTTTAGAAAAAAAAAAAAAGGAAAAATAAATGACTTATGCAAGATTCAAATAACTAACATGTTTCTCACTCACTTCTGATGGTTGCTGATTAAATTGCATAAATGTATTTTCTTAATTTGTTACAATAATTCTTCTCAATTGACTATTTTGTTTATTGGTAGTTTCAAAAGAAATAGAGGCAATATGAGAACATTAACAACCTTAAGCCGTTCATGTGCTTCAGCAGTAGTCCTCTGACCTCTTCTCCTACGCCAACTATGACCATCTTTGCGAAAATATTTTAGGACTCGTTTATTGAATAGATACAAAGATCCACCTGTTTAAGTCCTTCTGATGGTTGCTGATTAAATTGCATAAATGTATTTTCTTAATTTGTTACAATAATTCTTCTCAATTGATTATTTTGTTTATTGGTAGTTTCAAAAGAAATAGAGGCAATATGAGAACATTAACAACCTTAAGCCGTTCATGTGCTTCAGCAGTAGTCCTCTGACCTCTCCTCCTACGCCAACTATGACCATCTTTGCGAAAATATTTTAGGACTCGTTTATTGAATAGATACAAAGATCCACCTGTTTAAGTCCATTTTGTGAGATGGAAATATGTATAAACAAAATTGTGTAACAGGCATAATATGGTATAAGAGTACACAGAAATCAGAGATGAGAATATGAACATTACTAGTTGGCATATGCGGGACTTTGTGGGTGATCTGGTACTCCTCATGGTTTTGAAGTATGAAAAGCACTTCAGCTGGCTTTAGCCACCGAACTTGAGCTACACGACCCAGATATTTGATATCATATCCTGAAACTTAGAGAATGATAACATAACCATAACTTCATTTGTTCATGGTGTCACTAGCTATTAATTCAAATAACATCATGGAAAACTGCATTTCCAGGAACAAATAATGATTTAAATAATTGTTAAAGAGTATGCACGTATAAAAAGGAAGGAACATGCCAGATGGGTTTTTTTTTTTTAATTTATTTTGTAAATTGTGATAAGGGCTGCTTTAATAAATACTACTGTGAGTCAGAAGGAGGAAAAAAACAAAAAATGTAGCACATTCTTTTCAAATATCTGACAATTGATCACAATAGATTGTGTGCCTAAAAAGGCTGCAATGACGAATCTCTTTATGAATGTTTTTTACGAAGCCCAGAACCTACTGATTAAAAGTTAAACCTTGATGATCAATCTGTAATTCGATCAGTTTTTGCATCTAGATTCTTCATTTACTATTTTTTTTCCCAAGATATCTAATTATTAACTTTTTTCTTTTGAATTCTAATACCATCAACAATAAAAAATAGAAGCCGGGCACTCTTGAGCTATACTGCCGACTTATATGCTTAACAAAGCAAGATACCCGGGTTTCTGAACTGTCCATCAAAATTTTGAACCACTGAAACTTTATTTTCACAACCATTCTTCTTGTGGTTAAAGATGAGTAGCAAAACTCTTGAATTATTTTAAAAAAAAAAAAATGAAACCACACGCACACAAAAGGGGAAAATAGAGCTGGAGAAAGACTCCAGGATCACAAACTAATGAAATCAAGTTAACACACAGTAAGTCCAATTATAGAGAATATTAACGGCAAAAATGCAATTCGAACCATGTTTGAGCCACATTTTTTCAAAAAAAAAAAATAAAAAAAATACATTTTTCAACAGTAATTTGATATCAGTTCAAATGGGAAATACATTTTCATTCCGCTCAAACAAGGGCACCCGTACTTGTACTTCTAGTGCAAATAACACTTGAATTACAGCTATGACCAAATCAACAAAGTTATAAAACTAAAGATATCATCGTACTAATTGTACTAGAAACTAAACAAACACAGTCATTGTAGGAAAACGCTTAAATTTAGTGAACAAAACCTGTTGAAATCTAGTTGGACACGTTTAGGATAAACGAAATTCACTTGATTTCAGCAAAAATATAACACCTGCATACTATTACTGCAAATAACATTTGAATTACAGTTATTACCAAATCAACAAAGTTATTAAACTAAAATACCTGATTGCATCGTACTACTCATACTTATAAATAATAAACCGCAGTAATTGTCGCAAAATCACATCAATTTAGTTCATATTTTCTCCGGCCGCCGCTGAAGAGAGGCTGAACGTCGTTGTATGATCGGAATTCAATATAGTCCGAGTGAGAGAAATAACCTTCTGTACTTCAAAAACGAGAGCTCTGTAATTGATCCGTACACCGGGTAAGACGAAGAATCTGCCGTTCGTGTACTAAGTTCAGCTGTGTATGTCGGGAGGGTGACGTGTGTCCTTAGTACACAAAGCATTATTCTAAATAATAATAAATTAGATACAAGTGTCGTGCTTTTAAAATGGAATGGACATTGGGGCCTCTTATTGAATAAGGTTAAACTCCAACTTGAGAGTGCTATTGTCCCGCTCTTAGCACGTTGTGAAAGAGGTAAATTGTAAGATGTGCTTTAATAAGCTAAGAAATAAGAGCCGTTTGTACATTACGTCTACAGGAAATTCAATTTCATGTCTCAAGATTCGAACCCCCACACTGTGACTATCAACAAAACGTGAGATAACTTCTTATTGAATTTTTCTAATGGTAGTTCATTTGTCAACAATAATGAAAGAAGAATCTTAAAATTGTCAAACGTAAAAATTGTTAGGGAAGAAAATTTTTTATTTGTTTTCGCATACGAGATTTCACAATCATATGACTACCATTAGGACCACTCCAATTAATGCCCTGGACGTTAAGGGAAAAATTGGACAAAGAGAAGGTGCGATCGAAAAAATGACAAAAGAAAAAAAAAAGATTTAATTTAAATCAAATATGTATGAAGAGTTGACGTGTTACCAATAGTGCTTGCTTGAGAGTTTTTTCTATCGATTTTGTGTGGCGTCGATTTTAGATGGTTTTAAAAATTATCCAAAATCGTCGGAGCGTAATTTTAAACGATTCTCTCAACTCGCCAATTCGGTTGACCTTTTTCATAATTCTCTAATAATATTATCCAATCAACATATTTTATTGAAAACTAACTTGTATATAAAAATATATTTACTAAAGAAAATTATTTATGAACAAAAATGTTACATTATAATTAAAAAAGTAATAAATTACTTCTAAGTAAATATTACTTATAACATAAAAAAATTACTTTTTCTGCAACCAAAAAAAAAAAAGAGAAAAAAAGAAAAGAAAAATTGTTTACAATATGAAAATAGTTTTAATAAGACAAAATTTGTTTATAAAATAAAAATATTATTAATAAAACAAAACTTCACTTATAAAATATAAAAAATTCACTTAAAATTACTTAAATACACAAAATTAACTTATAATTATAAAGTTTACTTATAAGTAATAAATATTAAGTTATATGTAAAAAAAAAATTACTTATAAATAAAATATCACTTATCAATAAAAAAAAATTATACAAAAAACTATAAACTGAAAATTTTACTAAAGGGTATATATGTAACTTTTTTTCTTTTTTAAAAACTTTCAGAATCGATAAATACTAATTTCCAAACATGGGTTGGACTATTTTAAATTTCCCTATTAAAATCACGCCTGCTCATAAATGCTAAAAATTAATACTTTAAAAATAACTCATAATCGATACTTGTATATGATTGATAAAAGTTGACTACTCCCAACAATTACACAGCTTTAAATTAATTTCGAGAAAATTTTAGTGGTGTCCCCACCAAATTGAGGGAGATCGAACAACTTTCCAATGAATGGTTCCTAGAGATACACTTCAAGTCTCCTTTTTGTCCTGTGCAATCCTCGTCTTTTTCGGAATAAATACACAGGGAAATAGACATTGATGAGGTTTATGTGGAGGAACAGGCATTGGCATACATGGAACGGTTGGATGGTCGGCTTTTAAAGAAATTGATGTAACTTTTGTGTTTGGTGTCCGTTTTGGACCCATAACCTCATTTCGGAAAGGTAGCGAGCGTTTCGGATTGAACTCACCGCTTCGCCGTGATGTACGAGAGTTTTTGGGTATTTGAAGTCGTTTAGTGTGTCAAAACAACATTTTAAGTTTTTGTATTATTTATTTTCAGCATTTGTTATTTCCATTTTGTAGCCCAACCCATTTTGGGACTGCTGGCCCAGTAGGTTATCTTTTCTTTCATATTTAAGACGCTGCAAGACGTCTCCTAGGGTTTTTTTGGTTGTTCACGAAATAATAAAAGTTTGTTTCTGAATTCAATCCGTTTGGATAATGTTGTCGTGTGTTTGTAAATTCAATCAACATCATTTTGGTATCAAAGCATGGTGCGTGGGAAAGGACGTGGTGGTCGTGGTGACCAGATTGATGAAGTTGTAGATCTGCGTAATCAAGTTGAGGCGTTGACAATTCGATTTGATCAATTCATGACGTGGGCGGCAGAGGTTGTGCAGAACGGAACACCTCCTGCTCCTCCACGTCGTGCCCCAGTGAGTAATGGTGGAGGTGGATCTGAATCAGGGGAGAGGTTGGATGAGGAGACCTTGTCAGAGGCACGTGGCGATCGTGTTCAACAGCCTCGTGTGCAACAGCAGGACGCGTTTCAGCGATGGGAATCCGGATTCAAGGTTGATATACCTGAATTTCACGGTGGAATTGAGGCAGATGAATTCCTCGATTGGCTGGCGGCAGTAGAGGAGATCTTAGATTACAAAGAAGTGCTCGACAATAAAAGGGTACCTTTGGTGGCGACCCGTCTGCGTGGTCGTGCTGCTGCGTGGTGGCAGCAACTGAACCAAAACCGGATCCGTCCGGGTAAGGCGAAAATCCAGTCGTGGAAAAAAATGAAGAAACAGTTGAAGGTAGCGTTTCTTCCCTTTAATTATTCCAGGATTTTGTATCAGCACTTATAGAATTTGAGACAAGGCAATCGATCTGTAGATGCTTATTTCGCAGAGTTTTACCAACTGATAGCGCGAAATGATGTGGGAGAATCAGAAGACCAGTTGATAGCACGCTATATTGGTGGACTACGATCAACAACGTCGTTCTGTAGTAGGCATTTCTGGTGGTCCATCTGGAGGTGGGGGTCGACAATTCGCTCTAAATCCCACATCTAGTCCGTCCCAATCCTTTACATCTGGGGGTCAGGGCGTTGATCGGAACACTCGGCCAGTGGTTCCTCCAACCGCTAATCCGGGTGGCTGGGCTCCTCTTGGTGAACGAGGGCGTGGAAGTCAGTATTTTGATTGTGATGGTTTTGGTCATTTGAGGAAGGACTGTCCATCTCATGGATAGCCACACCCAAGTTTGTTCATTGGAAGGACAACACAAGCCGATGTTAACGATCCTGTTCATGTGGAGAATGAAGAAAAAGAGGCCGAAATTGTGCATACAGGTGACACGGGGCCTCTTTTGTTGGTCCGACGGGTGTGCCTTACGCCTAAGGGGTCGTCTGAGGACCTGCAGCGAAACAATATCTTTCTGTCTACGTGTACCATTGGAGGAAAGGTACGTAGGTTCATCATTGATTCGGGCAGTTGCGAAAATGTGATATCTGAAGCGGTCGTGCAGAAGCTGCAGTTAAGCACCGAACCTCATCCTGCTCCCTATAGCCTAGCATGGTTGAGACGAGGTAATGAAATTCATGTTACTAGCCGTGTGTTGGTATCTTTTTCTATTGGCAGTGTGTATCGTGATAGTGTTTGATGTGATGTGGTGCCGATGGATGCGTGTCATTTGTTGTTGGATCGTCCATGGCAGTTTGATAGGGATGTGTGCCATGAAGGGCGTCGAAATGCATATACATTCACCTTTTCGGGTAAAAAGATTGTACTACTACCCTCCAAAGATACACAGTGTCTGTCTTCGGCAGGGGACAGTAGTAATCTACTTTTCCGATCTTTGTTTGTGCGTGAGATGCTGGCAGAAGGTGTTGTACTGTTGTTAGTGGAAACTGAGACGACAGGAGTGTCGACAGTTCCTATGGCAGCTGAAGGGACGGGTCTTCACCCCAAAGCTGTCGCCTTGGTGTCTGAGTTTCATGATGTGTTTTCGGATGACCTTCCACAGGGTCTTCCGCCTTTGCGGGATATGCAACATCACATTGATTTGGTACCGGGCGCGTCATTGCCTAATCGCCCACATTACCCAATGAGCCCAGTGGAACATGAGGAGTTGAGGAGACAAGTAGAGGAGTTGGTGCAGAAGGGGTACATCAGAGAGAGCCTCAACCCGTGTGCAGTCCCCGCACTCCTAGTGCCAAAAAATATGGGAGTTATCGGATGTGTATAGATAGCAGGGCCATCAACAAAATAACAGTTCGTTATCGCTTTCCGATACCGAGGCTAGATGACTTGTTTGATCAGTTGGCCGGCGTAACTGTGTTTACCAAACTGGACTTGAAAAGTGGTTACCATCAGATAAGAGTCCGTCCTGGTGATGAGTGGAAGACAGCATTTAAGACACGGGAGGGATTATTTGAGTGGCTAGTTATGCCGTTTGGACTATCCAATGCACCGAGCACGTTCATGCGGATGATGAACCAAGCACTTCGATCGTTTATTGGTAAGTGCGTTGTTGTATACTTCGATGACATATTGGTATACAGTGGGTCGGAGGAGTCTCATGGTGTGCATCTAAGGGAAGTCCTTACTGTTTTACGCAAGGAGAAGTTCTTTGCAGCCACTAAGAAGTGCGTGTTCTATACCGATAGTGTTTTATTTTTAGGGTATGTTGTGTTAGCCGGTGGGGTAACGGTGGATGCAGTTAAGGTTGATGCGATTCGGCAGTGGCCGCGTCCACAGTCAGTTTCTAATGTGCGGAGTTTCCACGGTTTAGCGTCGTTTTATCGACGATTTATTCAGCACTTCAGCACCATCATGTCTCCCATTACTAATTGCATAGTGGACACCCGAAGCTGAGAAAGCGTTTTTGATCATTGAGGAGCGTCTGACTTCAGCCCCGATACTTGCGTTGCCTGATTTCACAAAATCTTTTGCATTACATTGTGATGCCTCTAAATTGGGTATCGGAGCTGTCCTCAGTCACGAAGGAAAACCAGTAGCTTATTTCAGTCAGAAGTTGGCAGGGGCTCGTGGGAGGTATAGCTCTTACGACGTAGAGCTTTATGCTATTGTTCAGGCCATTCGCCATTGGCGACATTATCTGTTTTAGCGAGAATTTGTCTTATACAGTGATCATGAAGCCCTCAAGCATTTGTCAAGCCAGGAGTCTATATCTGCCCATCATGCATCATGGGTTGCCTTTTTGCAGCAGTTCAACTTTGTCATTAAACATCAGGCTGGTTCTTCTAATCATGTGGCAGATGCGCTCAGTTGGCGGCATGGGTTATTAGTGCGGCT